TCATAGTATTACCTTTTTCATAGCCACTTTTCATTTTTATCTTCTTCTAATCACTGTACATACTAAATGTTTATTACATTTCTTAGAAAATATTCTGAGTTGTTCTTCCTTTCCATTATCAATGTTAGTGAACTCCTTGTTAGTGACCCTAAAACAGCCCATCTTCCAGTCATTTCATCCTATGAACTACTGCCAGAGTTTATTTCTTAAACTATCTCTTTCTTTATGAATCTCCTTTAGTCAAAAACCTTCAGGAGCTAGACTATGGAAGTGGTTTTCAAAAGCCTTTTTAAAAAAAAATTACTAAACAACTTCAGTTAAATAAAATCTTGTATGGGACCCAAACAAATAAAACAGTAAATCTGTAGTTGTTTTGGCTGAAAATATTTAAAGCCTCTTGTATTTGGGCTTTACCTACACATTGTCCCCTGGGCAGTTCTTTAGAATTTCTGGTACATTTTAGAATACAATTTGAAACCTATGGCCTCTAGTACAAAGTCTTCATTTAGGATTTAGGCCCTGTTCCATTTAACCAATCTGTTTGCTACATAAAACTTTTTCCATGTAAATTTGTGCCTTGACTTCTGTCATGTTTAGTGCCCAGAATGCTGTTAAACCACCTTTCTGCTTCTTTAAATCTTATTCATATCCCCAATGCAGTTCAGTCATCACCTCTTCACTGAACATGTGAATGAATATGTAGGAATAAAAGAGTTGGGTATCTTTTTTCACTATGTAGATATATTTTGAGGGGGTACTGTTTTCTTTTTTTGGAAATTACTTCTGATTTGAATTTAATTATTACATACACAGACGTCTGTGCAGGCGTATCTTGGAGATATTTCAGGTTTGATTCCAGACCACCACAATAAAGCACATGTCCCAATAACAGGAGTCACAGAAATTTTTTGGTTTCCCAGTGCATATAAAAGTTATGTTTACACTGTACTGTAGTCTATTAAATGTGCAATAACGTTATGTCTAAAAAATGCACGTACCTTAATTTAAAAATACTTTATTGCTAAAAGATGCTAAACATCTTTTGAGCCTTCAGCAAGTCATATTCTTTTTGTTGGTAGTTGGTATATTGTCTTACCTTGATGTTGCCTGCTGACTGATCAGGGTGGTTGTTGCTGAAGAGCTAGGTGGCCGTGGCAATTTCTTCAAATAAGACAACAATGAAATTTGTTACATCAATTGACTCTTCCTTTCATGAATGGTTTTTCTATAGCATGCATGCTGTTTGGTAGCATTTTACCCACCATAGAACTTCTTTCAAAATTGGAGTCATTCCTCTCAAACCCTGCTGCTGCTTTGTCAACTAACTTTATGTAATATTCTAAATCCTTTCTTATCAAAATTTCAGCAGTCTTCATAACATCTTCACCAGGAGTAGATTCCATCTCAAGAAACCACTTTCTTTGCTCAACCATAAGGAGCAACTCCTCATCCATTAAAGGTTTACCATGAGACTGCAACAATTCAGTCATCTTCAGACTCCATTTCTAATTTTAGTCCTCTTACTATTTCAACATCTGCAGTTTCTTCCTTCACTGAGTCTTGAATCCCTCAGTCATTCAACTTCTTCCAAACTCCTATTAAGGTTGATATTTTCACCTCTTCCCATGAATTAAAAATATTCTTTTTTTTTTTTTTTTTTTTACAAATATTCTTAATGGCATCTAGAATGATGAACACTTTCCAGAAGGCTTTTAATTGAGCTTGCCCACATCTGTCAGAGGAATCACTCTCTATGGCAGCTAGATCCTTTTGAAGTATATATTTATATTTTGACTGCACCACGTGTCTTGCAGGATCTTAGTGCCCTAACCAGGAGACCAGGGGTCAAACTTGGGCCCCTCTGCAGTGGAAGCATAGAGTCCTAACCACTGGACTTCCAGAAAACTCCCAAAATATATTTATTAAATAATAAGACTTGAAAGTCAAACTGGATCTGTGGGCTGCAGAATGGATGTCTTGTTAGCAGCCATAAAAACATCATTAATCTCATTGCACATCACCATCAGAGCTCTTGGGTGACTAGGTACATTGTCAATGTAAAGTAATATTTTGAAAGGAATCTTTTTTTCTGAACAGTAGGTCTCAGCAGTGGGCTTAAAATATTCAGCAAACCATGTTGTTAACAGATGGACCATCATCCAGGCTTTGTTATTCCATTTATAGAGCACAGGCAGAATAGATATAGCATAATCCTTAAAGGCCCTAGGATTTTTGGAATGGTAAATGAGTATTGGGTTCAACTTAAAGTCACCAGGTAATTAGCCCCTACAAAGAGAGTCAGCCTGTCCTTGAAGCTTTGAAGCCAGGCATTGACTTCTCCTCGCTAGCTATTGAGTTGGCCGAAAAGTGCCTTCAGTTTTTAAGTGAAAATAAAAGACGCATTTTTCATTTTCACCAAGAACTTTATTGACCAACATATCTGCCCTTTTGTTCCACTACCTTCTGCCATTTTTCAGGCAACTTCATAATTCCATCTTCCCAAAACTTTTGATCTTTTTGAGCAAAGAAGTGTTCCAGGTGCCTTTTACAGTCTTCCAGGGAATTGAAATTTTTCCATTAAGAGAAGTTTTAAAGACCGAAATAAGTGGAAATCCAAAGGTGAAATGTCTGGTGAATATGGCGGATGAATCAGAACTTCCCAGCCAAGGTGTAACAGTTTTTGCCTGGTCATCAAAGAAACATGTGGTCTTGTGTTATCCTGATGGAAGATTATGCGTTTTCTGTTGACTAATACTGGACGCTTTTTGTCGAGTGCTGCTTTCCGTTGGTCTAACTGGGAGCAGTACTTGTTGGAATTAATCATTTGATTTTCCGGAAGGCACTCATAATAGAGGACTCCCTTCCAATCCCACCATATACACAATATCACCTTCTTTGGATGAAGACTGGCCTTTGGTGTGGTTGGTGGTGTTCATTTCACCTGCCCCACGATCTGTTCCGTTCCACATTAATGTACAGCATCCACTTTTCATCGCCCGTCACAATTTGTTTTAAGAATGGAACATTTTCATTACGTTTAAGTAGAGAATCGCATGTGGAAATATGGTCAAGAAGGTTTTTTTCACTTAACTTATGTGGAAACCTATCATAAGTGATTAATATAACCAAGCTGGTGCAAATGGTTTTCAACGCTTGATTTGGATATTTTGAGTATGTCAGCTGTCTTCCACGTGGTATAACATTGATTGTTCTCAATTAATGTCTCAATTTCATTGCTATCAGCTTCAACTGGTCTACCCGACTGGAGCATCATCCAGCGAGAAATCTCCAGCACGAAGCTTCACAAACCACTTTTGACAAGTTCAGTCAGTCACAGCACCTTTTTCATACGCTGCACAAATCATATTTTTGTGTTTCAGTTGCATTTTCACCTTTCTTGAAATAATAAAGCGTAATATGCCAAAAATGTTGCTTTTTTCCTTCCCTCTTCAATATTAAAATGGCTACAGAAAAATTCACCAATTTTGATGTCTTTTTTAAATGCACGCTGATATGACAGCTGTCACATACAATCTAACAAGGTTGTTTTGAATGAAGTTAAAGACAACTAAGTACTACTAGAGCCATCTTACGGAAAAAAACCGAACGAAACTTTTGGCCATCCCAACATGAAAGTCCTCGATGGTATCTTCTTCCAAAAGAGGGCTGTTTTGTCTACAGTGAAAATCTGTTGTTTAGTGTAGCCACCTTCATTAATTATCATAGCTGGATCTTCTGGATAACTTGCTGCAGCTTCTGCATCAGCACTTGCTGCAGCTTCTGTGTCAGCACTTGCCGCTTCACCTTGCACTTTTATGTTATGGAGATGGCGTCTTTACTTAAACCAACATCTGCTAGCTTCAAACTTTTCATCTGTAGCTTCCTCACCTCTCTCAGCCTTCACAAAACTGAAGAGAGTTGGGGCCTTGCTCTGTATTAGCCTTTGGCTTAAGGGAGTGTTGTACCTGGTTTGATCTCTACCCAGACCACTAAAACTTTCTCCATATCAGAATTAAAGCTGTTTTGCTTTCTTATTATTCATGTGTTCACTGGAAGAGCACTTTTAATTTCCTTCAAGAACTTTTCCTTTGCATTTACAACTTGGCTGACTAATATTTAGTGCAAGAGGCCTAGCTTTTGACCTATCTCAGGTTTTTTTTGTTTTGTTTTTGTTTTTGTGTTTTTGCGGTACGCGGGCCCCTCTCTGTTGTGGCCTCTCCCGTTGCGGAGCACAGGCTCAGCGGCCATGGCTCACGGACCCAGCCGCTCCGCGGCATGTGGGATCCTCCCAGACGGGGGCACAAACCCATGTCCCCTGTGTCGGCAGGCAGACTCTCAACCACTGCGCCACCGGGGAAGCGCCTATCTCAGGTTTTGACATGCCTTCCTCACTAAGTTTAATCATTTCTAGCATTTGATTTCTAGTGCCCCATGGTAGGGGTACTACTTGGCCTTATTTCAATATTGTTGTGTCTCAGGGAATAGAGAGACCCAAGGACAGAGAGAGAGATGGGGAAGAAATCAGAACACACACAACACTTATGAATTAAGTTTGCTATCTTACATGGGCATGGTTTGTGCTACCCCAAAACAATTACAATAGTAATATCAAAGATCACTGATTATATATTACCATAACAGATATAATTTTAATAATGAAAAAGTTTGAAATATTGTGAGAAGTACGTGAACAAATGCTATTAGAAAAATGGTGCTGATAGGCTTGCTAGAAGCAGGGTTGCTACAAACCTTGAATTTGTAAAAAACACAGTATCTGAAAAGTGCAATAAAGTGAAGTGCAATAAAATGAGGTATGCTTGTGTTTTATGCTTATCATATTTCAAATCCCTGAACTGAATGACTTTAAGCATTCAAAAGGATGGGTTCAAGAGTGATGCTAAATATAAATGTTAAGATAACAAATCTAAGAATAATATACATGTGACCAAAATCAATAATTTAAAACATGCTTTATTAGTTTTACATTTGTTTTCTCTTAGGGCTTGCAACATACAATCCTGTTTTAAAGAAATCTTGCTCCATACCCTTATTTGTTAAAGCATCAAAGCGTTTTAAAGACTCCAAAGAGATTACTCCTGGTCCAGCGACACATGAGGTTTGTCAATGATATTTCTCTTTTAATAATAACACAAGAATGGAAAAATTTCCAGAAAGTACTGGAAATGTCTTCATTAAAGTCCTTTCCATATGTTCTATTCTTATTACTAACCAAAATCTTTTGGCTAAGAAAGGCTTTTTTAAAGATAAATTCTGACATTTCTGAAAGAATTGTTTGAGAATTTAAGAATTATTTAACAATTTATCTATAAATAGCCTCTACAGCACAAATATATATAATTTTTATATCCCTACAACTCTAAATATTTACTTGTTTACATACACAAATTGAAATAGAAATTTCCAAATGTTTATTGAAATCAAGAATTTATTGGAGAGCTCAGAAGAAGAAAGCCCTGTGGATCCAATAAAACCAGGTATTGATCTTTTATTTTCTTTTAATAAATGCAGGTGGTTTAGATTCATAATAAATAAATGTCTCATTATGCTGTGGGTCTTCTGATTGTAAGGAGGAGGTTTAAATAAACTGCAGGGTTTTAGAAATTGTGTTCACTCTAGGCTTTTATTCCCCATTTGGTGTGAAAAGGTTTTCCTATTGGCTGATAGCAATTAAGAGTGCAAACCATAATGAATGTTTATTTGGGTTAGTTAATGACAAATTTATTTTTATTGAATGTATGTTTTTCTACTTTTCAAAATGTCATAATCCAAAGAATTTTTTGGCATTCTGTCAAAAGCACATTTATAATATAATATCAGAAAAGGGAGAAAAAAGAATAATGAAAGACTTGTTATTTTACTTGTTGGCTGTTGATTCCCCCAAAATATCACTGTTACTTTCTACTGATAAGCAAATCTAATTTTATAAGACTTACTTCACAAAGGGAAAATCTGCTAGACAGAGTCTTAGTAGTAGTTCAGAAGGTGAAAGTCAAGGGAGGATACATTATATATATACAGTGTTTTAGGGCCTTGGCTCTGTAATGTAAGGCAAGTCTTGCAAATTGGGAACTGATAGAGATTTGGCAACGTTTATGACATATTTACTCTTGATTGTTGGGTACAATGAGGAAAGGTCTTTAAGCAAGTATTGATCAGTAAACTATTAGTCTTAATAAGTTAGATATTATAGATGTTCATTTGATCATATTAAATCATAGAAAATCTTTAACTGATTGCTTCCTCACACCTTTTGAAAACTGGTTTTAATGGTGTCCACAAATGATAAATGCCAGTAAATCTGATGTTATACTTTTTCATTTTGTGCTACATTTGTCCTAGAAGATGTACCCACTAGTATTCTTAGTATTTAAAGATGCTATTGCTTTTTCTTTCACTAAGATTTTATGATTTATATTTATACTTCCTCAGTCATTTATTGTGGAATATTATTTTCCATGTCAGAAAAAAAATTTATGGATTTAATAATGAGGTTTAGTTAAGGTAATGCCTAAAATGTCAAACTAATATATCCGTATATTATATAATAGATATAATACTGCAGTAGAAGGTTAATTTTCTGTTGAGGACTGTCTGTAATTTTTTGTCTTTCCAACACCACTTGTTTCTGTTAATTTTTTGAACAAATAATTTTTTGGAACAAATAATTTTCTTTCATAATTTTTCTTCTTGAAAGGAAAAGTTACTTCTTTTTTTTTAACATCTTTATTGGAGGATAATTGCTTTACAGTGCTGTGTTTGTTTCTGCTTTATAACAAAGTGAATTAGCTATACATATATGTATATCCCCATATCTCCTCCCTCTTCTGTCACCCTACCACACTTCCTATCCCATGCCTCTAGGTGGACACAAAGCACCAAGCTGATCTCCCTGTGCTATGCGGCTGCTTCCCACTAGCTATCTGTTTTACATTTGGTAGTATATATAAGTCCATAACACTCTGTCACTTCATCCCAGCTTACCCTTGCCCCTCCCTGTGTCCTCAAGTCCATTCTCCACATCTGTGTCTTTATTCCTGTCCTGCCCCTAGGTTCTTAAGAACCGTTGTTGTTTTGTTTTAGATTCCATATATATGTGTTAGCATACGGTATTTATTTTTCTCTTTCTGACTTACTTCACTCTGTATGACAGTCTCCAGATCCATCCACCTCACTACAAATAATTCAATTCCGTTTCTTTTTATGGCTGAGTAATACTCCATTGTATATATGTGCCACATCTTCTTTATCCATTCATCTATCAGTGGACACTTAGGTTGCTTCCATGTCCTGGCTATTGTAAATACAGCTGCAATGAAGAGTGTGGTACGTGACTCTTTTAAATTACAGTTTTCTCAGGATATATGCCCAGGAGTGGGATTCCTAGGTCGTATGGTAGTTCTATTTTTAGTTTTTTAAGGAACCTCCATACTGTGCTCCATAGTGGCTGTATCAATTTACATTCCCACTGACAGTGCAGGAGGGTTCAGTTTTCTCTACACCCTCTCCAGCATTTATTGTTTGTAGATTTTTTGATGATGGCCATTCTGACTGGTGTGAGATGATACCTCATTACAGTTTTGATTTGCATTTCTCTAATGATTAGTGATGTTGAGCATCCTTTCATGTGTTTGTTGGCAATCTGTATATCTTCTTTAGAGAAATGTCTATTTAGGTCTTCTGCCCATTTTTGGATTGGGCTGTTTGTTTTTTTGATATTGAGCTGCACGAGCTGCTTGTATATTTTAGAGATTAATCCTTTGTCCGTTGATTCATTTGCAAATATTTTCTCCCATTCTGAGGGTTGTCTTTTCGTCTTGTTTATGGGTTCCTTTGCTGTGCACAAGTGTTTAAGTTTCATTAGGTCCAATTTATTTATTTTTGTTTTTATTTTTGTTTCTCTAGTGGGTGGGTCAAAAAGGGTTTTGCTGTGATTTATGTCATAGAGTGTTCAGACTATGTTTTCCACTAAGAGTTTTACAGTGCCTGGCCTTACATTTAGGTCTGTAATCCATTTGGAGTTTATTTTTGTTTATGGTTTTAGGAAGTGTTCTAATTTCATTCTTTTACATGTAGCTGTCCAGTATTCCCAGCACCACTTACTGAAGAGGCTATCTTTTCTCCACTATATATTCTTGCCTCCTTTGTCAAAGATGACCATATGTGTGGATTTAGCTCTGGGCTTTCTATCCTGTTCCATTTTTCTATATTTGTTTTTCTGCCAGTACCATACAGTCTTGATTACTGTAGCTTTGTAGTATAGTCTGAAGTCAGGGAGCCTGATTCCTCCAGCTCTGTTTTTCTTTCTCAAGATTGCTTTGGCTATTTGAGGTCTTCTGTGTTTCCATACAGATTGTGAAAATTTTTGTTCCACTTTTGTAAAAAATGCCATTGGTCATTTGATAGGGATTGCATTGAATATGTAGATTGCTTTGGGTAGTATAGTCATTTTCACAATGTTGATTCTTCCAATCCAAGAATAGAGTATATCTCTCCATCTGTTTATATCATCTTTAATTTCTTTCATTGGTATCTTATATTTTTCTGCATACAGGTCTTTTGTCTACTTAAGTAGTTTTATTCCTAGGTATTTTATTCTTTTTGTTGCAGTGGTAAATGGAAGTGTTTTCTTAATTTCTCTTTCAGATTTTTCATCATTAGTGTATAAGAATGCAAGAGATTTCTGGGTATTAATTTTGTATCCTGCTACTTCACCAAATTCATTGTTTAGCTCTAGTAGTTTTCTGGTAGCATCTTTAGGATTCTCTGTGTATAGTGTCATGTCATCTGCAAACAGTGACAGTTTTACTTTTCTTTTTTGATCTGGATTCCCTTTCTTTCTTTTTCTTCTCTGATTGCTGTGGCTAAAACCACCAAAATTATGTGGAATAATAGTGGTGAGAGTGGGCCACCTTGTCTTTTTCCTGATCTTAGTGGAAACGGTTTCACTTTTTCACCATTGAGAACGATTTTGGCTGTGGGTTTGTCATATGTGGCCTTTATTATGTTGAGATAAGTTCCCTGTATGGCTACTTTCTGTAGAATTTTTATCATAAATGGGTGTTGAATTTTGTTGAAAGCTTTTTCTGCAACTACTGAGATGATCGTATCGTTTTTATCCTTCAATTTGTTTTATGGTGCATCACTTTGATTGATTTGCGTATATTGAAAAAATCCTTGCATTCCTGAGATAAACCCCACTTGATCATGGTGTATGATCCTTTTAATGTGCTGTTGGATTCTGTTTGCTAGTATTTTGTTGAGGATTTTTGCATCCATTTTCATCAGTGATATTGGTCTGTAGTTTCTTTTTGTAACATCTTTGTCTGGTTTTGGTATCAGGGTGATTTTGGCCTTATAGAGTGAGTTTGGGAGTGTTCCTCCTCTACTATATTTTGGAAGAGTTTGAGAAGGATAGGTGTTAGCTCTTCTCTAAATGTTTGGTAGAATTCACCTGTGAAGCCATCTGGTCCTGGGCGTTTGTTTGTTGGAAGATTTTTAATCACAGTCTTAATTTCAGTGCTTGTCATTGGTCTGTTTATATTTTCTATTTCTTCCTGGTTCAGTCTTGGAAGGGTGTGCTTTTCTAAGAATTTGTCCATTTCTTTCAGGTTGTCCAATTTATTGGCACATAGTTGCTTGTAGTAATCTCTCACGATCATTTGTATTTCTGCAGTGTCAGTTGTTATTTGTCCTTTTTCATTTCTAATTCTGTTGATTTGAGTTTTCTCCCTTTTTTTCCTTGATGAATTTGGATAATGGTTTATCATTTTGTTTATCTTCTCAAAAAAACAGCTTTTAATTTTATTGATCTTTGCTATTTTTTCCTGCATTTCTTTTTCATTGATATCTAATCTAATCTTTATGATTTCTTTCCTTCTGATAATTTTGGAGTCTTTTTTGTTATTCTTTCTTTAATTGCTTTAAGTTTAAGGTTAGGTGGTTTATTTGAGATTTTTCTTGTTTCTTGAGGTCGGATTGTATTGCTATAATCTTCCCTCTTAGAACTGCTTTTACTCCATTCTATAGGTTTTGGGTGTCATGTTTTCATCGTCATTTGTTTCTAGGTATTTTTTGATATCCTCTTTGATTTCTTCA